AAAAACATGCAGAATCACTATAAGTACATTGATTATTCCAACCATAAGCAGAAGAATTATCCCAATTAGCACCATATTGATCAAAACAAGGATTGTAATGCTCTAATTCATCATAATAATCCACATTTTGTGCTTGTCTACATGTATGAATAGCATGATAACCTCCACACAAGTCACAAATCATTTGATTAGAATTAAAAGCATTAACATTCCTCTTTTCCTCAATCTTATGCATCATGGTGTCCATTAGCACTTTTAACATTATAACATCAACTTTAGCCTTTAAACACACTAAACCATCTTCGAAAGACATACCTTCGGTAATTTCTTGGTTACCTCTATTGAAAGATTTTTGCACTTGGTAACCATCCATTGCCGATCTTCCATTTCTCATGCATTGTCTCCTCATATTTTCTACTCTCCTTGATCCCCTAAACATGTCTTTAAAATAACTCAAAAACAAGTTAGTCAAGAAGAATAGATAACTCTAACATAATAAAAAAAATAAATAAATAAAAAAACACAAAAACTCACAAAGACACTAAAAAACAAAAATTGAGACAACAGACATAACAAACACAAGAAAAACAAGTAAAAAATGTCTAAATTAATAAAGTTGCTCTTAGCACCGATATTGACAAATCTTCCCCGGCAACGGCGCCAAAAACTTGACGGGTATTTTACATACGTGCAAGCTAAAAAATACCGAATTACACCCGTTCACTGCAAGTATACAGATCAACTAGTAGTTTAGGGTATATATCGGGTCGATCCCACAAGGAAGAGTGAACAATTACCGGTATTACTAAAGCTTCTCTATTATTTAGACTATCAATAAATTATAGCAAATTTAACCTACTGGAATTATACAAAATAACAAATAAAAGCTCCTTAGGTTGTGGTATCCCTAACTACTCATGCAAGTGCTATATTTGGATCATTTAGTACTACATCTAGGCTAGTTATGGTGTAATTTCCTTATGCATTTGAATCCTACTTTCGTAGTGAATCAATTATACTAATAACCAATCCATACCTATTCTCATGGTTATGAAATTAGTTACAAGTTCATTTCTTCAATGAAATTACATGAAATTAATCACCAAAACCCCATAGGTGCACCTCTACTCTCGTGAGTGTACTCCCCATGTTTAGCACTTATTGAACTAATGTTAAATCTCAATTTTCATTGCAGAAATAACACCTTAGATAATCACAATTAATGGTACCAGATTAATCATGATTTAAAGAGCTAAAGTGCTAAATAACTTGCTCAAATCATAGCAGTTAAATAGCCAAATGATAAACACTAACAATCATAGGAAGTTCAACCAAACCCAAGGCATAAACTTTAGAAACACATAATAAACATAAATTCCAGAACTTGCATATAACCATAATTTAAGAATCCAATACAAAAGATAAAGAATTGGAGTAGAGATAACCCATGTCACTTGAGCTCAACTCCTTGCCTTCTTCATCTCCATCTTCATCCTAATCTAGCTATTATACAAGAATGGATTAACTACACTTACTACACTATCCTACACTAAGGAAATGAAAGAACTACATTTCTGCACTTCAAGTTCTCTCCCGTATGATGAATGAATGAATGAATCTCTGTCTCTGCATATAAACTCATGAAAAGTTCCTCTTCTCCCAGTCCAAATTTGCTGCTATGATTCTTCAAATCTCATTTTGTTAAGATAGTCAAAAACCATTGTTTTTGACTTGAAAATAAGCCATATTGTCTGCCATTTTGTCTTCTGAAGCATGTGCACCGAATTCCCTTGCATCTTATAGCTGGAAAGTGGTATGAACACAAGGGAAATGGCTGAGTCAAATTGCAGAATTTCGGCCAGAAAACGCGCCTACACAAAACGCGGTTACAAGTCACGTTTTGTGTACTCGCGTATTCACTTTGGCCTTACTTAATCTGCGATTTTGTCTATCATAAAGGCCGAACTAGCTTTTGTGTAAAACACCAAAGTTGTAGCCCTTTGAGTTAGATTTTCAATGCTTCAAGAATCATCCAAATTGGAGCTTTGTAGCCTGAGATATGACCGAAATACTATAGACTGGTCGGAGCTCTGTTTTCCACTTTGGACAGCTGAGTTGAATTTCGGTATTTCAACTTTTAGACTATGAAAACGGCTGAATTGGACTTTGATGTCTTCATACCAAATGTAGATATATCTCTTAGCTTCAAAATGGTACCAAGATCACCTTGATCCAATCTGTGTAGCTCCAGATATAGTCAAAATACCAAAACGTGTCAGAGTTGTTAAACCTGACTTTTCTTGCATTTTTCCTTTTACACTTCATATTTTATTTTCACCACTTTAATCCATCTTCAATCATCCAAATATCTTCCCAATGCACTTCATTTGATGATTGAATCATTAAACCTACAAAATATGAAGTTTTTTTACCATAAAAATCCATAAAATGCAATGTTTAGCCATTTTAACATAAAATGTAGTTTTTTTACCAAAACCTTAGTTATTTTAGTTATAAAACTAAATAATCAAACCAAAATTAACTAATAAAACACACTAAAAATACGTAAAATAAACTCTTATCAGCGGTCCTGGTGAAGTTCAAATTACTCCCAAAATGTGAGGGTCAGAAATATGGACGTGGGGGAGGCTATGAGTGTCTAGGTGTCCTAGACCTAGAAGTGGATCTCGACCTCACCATGGTAACTAGCAGGCAGCCCAAACAGCAAAAGACAGAATAACCGGCAAATTGGAATCAATAATAACGGAAGAACCACTGGTGTTGTCCCCCGTATGCAACCCAAACAATAGACATCACAATTTAGGCACCCAAAAGCTATAAAAATACCCCAACAATACAGCAAAGTCAAACAATAAGCACTGGTGTCCCAAGCTTAGCCAAATGCAGAATCAATGGACCCCAAAGTGCAACAAATGCTCCCAAGAACTCAGTAATTGAAATAAAAAAGACACAATACCCCCAAACAAGGCAACCTAAGGCAACCTACTTCAACAAGCAAATTTAAGCGTATAGGCACCTCCCAATTTAACAAACAACCGCAGCAGATTACCCACAATTAGACACAAATTACAGCAAATTAGACACAATTGGACCAAAAATTGTAACAACTGTCTCCAATTGGACAGTCAATTATCCAATTCAACATGCTAAAATTAGCAATTGACCCAAGAAAATGGCAACTCCAACAGCCACAGTTCAGAATGCGGACTGAAACAACTCAAGCACAAATGTCCAGTAGTCAGTTAAGCAACCAATAACATAAGAGGGATAAATTTTATACACACTATCACAACCAGTACCACTGGTGTGCCCCACAGAAAATGGAACAACTCGAACTTCCAAGCAAATCAACAAAATCTCAAACTAGTCACCCACGGTCGAGATAAAAGGTCTAAGCAAACGCACAATTTGAATCAATAAACAGACTATCTCCAGCAGGTCAATTAAATTCACCCAAAAGCTGTAAGTAAAGAAAATGGCATCCACACAAATTATGGCTCACAAATAACACCAATTTACTCAATTAGAAAGTAGCAAAAGGGCTTCAGTGAAAACGAAAAGTGACCCACGCACTTGAGAGTGCAAAATCGTAATCAAGGGTTGAAGAGAATGTGTACCGACGCCCCAAGTGTGAAGGTGGCACTGTCGGGTGGTTGTTGTGAGAGTGGAGGTATAGCGGCGGCGTGAGCTGGCGGAAGTGAGGGAAGCACGCGACTGCTTGGTGGAGTAAGGATGCCTGTGGGAGCGTTTGGGAAGATGGACTGCGGCCGAGCGCGAGGGGCAACTGCTGGAGTGAGGCGTGGCTGTTTGGACTGGGCTAGAGGCGCGCGTGGACAGCGGCGTGCATACGGGAGGTGGTGGTGACGGCTGAAGCTAGGTGGAGAGGAAAAGGGGAATGGCGGGGAGCTCTGCGGCTGCTAGTGGCTCTCAAGGGCAGCACTCGATGGCGGTGGACGGCGTGAGCTAGTGGTGAACGAGGAAGAAGAGAGAGTGCGAGGAGTGAGATGGGGAGGTTGGCAGCGCTGGAGGAACGGTAGACTGGAAGTGTAACGTGCAAAGTGGAGGTGAGAGGTGGTGAAGGAGGCGGCGGTCGCCGCTGGCGGCACGCGGTGCTACACGCTCGGGGCCGCGCGAGGTTGGAGAGGGATGGAGAGGTTGGCGGCGCCCAGCTGGGAGAAAAGATCAGAGAAGAGGGAGCTCGGGACGGCGGCGGCGTGCGATGGAGTAGTGGCAGCCGAAGAAGAAAATAAGCAAAAAGAGGAACAAGGCAACAGGAAAGAAGAGAAAGAAAAAAGAAAGAAAGAAAGAAAAGAAAGAAAGAAAGAAAAAGAAAAAAGAAAAAAAATAGTTTTTGGGTTTTTTTTCTTCTTTTTTTTTTTCTGATTGCAAACTCAAATTTCAAAATTCGAATTGTGAAAACCAAAACTGAAGGTGTAAAATGGAAAATGTTTTTATTTTGATTTTTTTTTTGGGAAATTGAAATTCCAAAATTTGAATTTTTTTTAAAAGAAAAACAAAGCTGAAAGTTCAAAAAGGAAAATAATTTATATTTTTTTAAATTTTATTTATTTAATTTTTTTTTTGGTATTTTCTTTATTTTTGGGTTGTCAAATACAGCATGGGCAGCACGCCAAGATTATAAAACGTCCACTAACCTCAGGAGTCACTAACATAGCGTAGGTACGCCAAGATTGCATTTCCTGCCAATGTCGCGAGATGATGAGATTTGACCAATATGGCGCGGACACGCCAAAATTGGTAAACGTCTACTGATCTTAGGAATCACTAACATAGCGTGGACATGCCAAGATTGCACTTCCTGGTCACAGTAAAGGAAAATATCAAGACCGACTACTACCCAAATGAGAAACAACAAAACGAATGAATTGAACAATAAAAAATAATAAAACCAATATTTGGATTGCCTCCCAAAAAGTGTCTTTCTTTAACGTCTTTGGCTAGACGTTGAACACCACTCTTCAATCTGGATGTAATTCAATTTTTCTTGTAATCGGTGGTCCTCCTCCAGGATCCAAATAGCCATTGAGTGCAGCCTTCTTTCTAAATTTTCTATTCATTTTCACCTCATAAATTGCTTTCATCCTCTGATATTTGTTCGCAGGAACTTTGAATTTACCCCTAAAATCAAACTCAGAAAATTCTTGCATAGAGAGATTAGTAGCATGAATAGCAAACACAGAATGAGAATTAACAGGATGTTTTATTGTATTAAAAATATTGAAGTGGACTATTTCTCCATCGAATTCCATTGTGAGAGTACCCTTACTAACATCAATTTTAGTTTGGCCAGTATGCAAGAATGGTCTTCTTAATATAATGGGTGATGGATTTGGAGCACTTTCATCATCCATGTAAAGCACATAAAAATCAGCAGGAAAAATTAATCCATCTACTTGCACTAAAACATCCTCAATTACCCTATCCGGATAAGTAAATGTACGATCAGTCAATTGAATTATTATCCTTGTTTCTTTTAAATGTCCTAAATTTAGGGAATCATAAACTGATTTAGGCATCACATTAATAGAAGTCCCTAAATCTAGCATGATATTTTTGATATTGGAACGTCCAATCTTATAGGGGATAGTAAATATATCTGGATCTCCGCATTTAGGTAGCAGTTTCCCTTGTAAAATCGCTGAAACGTTCTCACCTACCACAATATGCTCATCAGTTTCCTTTGTAAACTGATTTAGGCATCACATTAATAGAAGTCCCTAAATCTAGCATGATATTTTTGATATTGGAACGTCCAATCTTATAGGGGATAGTAAATATATCTGGATCTCCGCATTTAGGTAGCAGTTTCCCTTGTAAAATCGCTGAAACGTTCTCACCTACCACAATATGCTCATCCTCCCTCAACTTCTTCTTGTTGACGCACAAATTTTTCAAGAATTTAGCGTATTTCGGCACTTGTTTGATCGCGTCCAACAAAGGGATATTGATTGCCACCTTTCGAAACACCTCTAGAATCTCTTTTTCCTTATCTTGCTTTTTCGGTTTCTCCAACCTGTTAGGAAAAGGTGGTGGATTAGTCTTAACTGTAATGAATGGGTCCGGGAGTACCTTCGGATCCTTGTTGCTTCTGCCCTCCTCTTCAAGCTCTTTCTCAATTCGTTCGTCGTTCTTGTCCTTAGGAATCACAAGTTCGGGTCCTTGGATTTCCTTTCCACTCCTCAAGGTTATTGCGCTTACATTCTTCGGATTCAACTCAGGTTGAGATGGCAACTTCCCTTGAACTTGGGACTCCAAATGGTTGATCGTGATGGCCATTTGATTTATTTGAGTTTGCAATGATTGCACTTGTCCCAATTGATTCCTCATGCTTTGCAGGTCTGAATCCGTCTTCTGTTGATTCGTAAGTAATTGCTTCATCATCTCTTCCATGGACGGACTTGAGTTCGAAGGGAGTGGTGGTGGGCGAGGGTGGTACCGCTGCTGGTACCCTTGCTGCCTATTTGGTATGAAGTTGGATTGCCTGTTCCCTCCATAGCTGAGGTTGGGATGATCTCTCCAACCAGGATTGTAGGTGCTTGAGTAAGGGTCGTACTGCTTTCTTGGCACGAGCGCATGGCTAGCCATGTTCACCTGTTCTGCAGTTTCTTCCTGAACCAGTGGACACATCTCCGTATAATGATCCACGGCTGTGCATACCCTACATACTTTGGCTTGTGACGCACTTCCCACAGCTAGTTGTCGCATGAAAAACGTCAATTCGGAGAATTGATGTTGGATAAAGGATGTTTCTACCTCATTCACCTTACGGGTCGGGATATCCTCTCTTGAACCAAACTGTTATGAATTTTCAGTCATCCCCTCAATCAACTCCCATGCTGCCCGAGGAGTCTTGTTCACTAATGCCCCTCCACTTGCAGTATCAATTATGCTCCTGTTCCTGAAGAGTAGCCCCTCATAGAAATATTGGATGAGCAGTTGCTCATTTATCTGATGTTGAGGGCATTTTATGCACAACTTCTTAAATGCACAACTTCTTAAACCTCTCCCAGTACTCATAGAGAGACTCGCCTGGGTGTTGTTTGATACCACATATCTCTTTCCTTAGACTTGCAGCTCGAGACGCTAGAAAGTACTTGTCCAAGAATTTTTTCTTTATCTGATCCCACGTGGTGATACTACCTGGTGGTAGAAAGTACAACCAGTCTTTCGCGGAATCTTTCAAGGAGAGAGGGAATGCCCTCATTTTTATCTGCTCATCTGTGATTCACGGAGATTTCATACTATTGCACACGACATCAAAGTCCTGCAAATGCTTATAAGGCTCCTTACCTGATAGACCATGGAAAGATGGCAAAAGATGAATTAGACCAGATTTTAGTTCAAAGGGAGTGTTATCATTCAAATTTGGGAAAGTAATGCATAAAGGTTGCTGATTTAAATTAGGATACCAACTTCCTTAGTATTTATACATTCGCCATGGTGACTTCCTCTTGGTCAGAATCACTTGAGTTATCACCACGCAAATTCGTCAACTCAACCTCCAGATCAAGTCCTTGAGATGCAACACTAGACTGCTCCTCTCTGATCTGTCTAGTTTTTTTTCTCGTTCTACGCACGGTCTTTTCTACTTTAGGATCGAAAATTAATTCGCTTGTACGAGAAAAATGAGGCATAAACTAGAAAAATACCAGAAAATTAGAACAAAATTGAAATTAAAAAGAAACAAATAATTAACGCCAGTCCCCGACAATGGCGCCAAAAATTAACAGGTACCAAACCTGTACAATAATAATTACCTACTCAAAAAAATACAAATTTGTATATAGCGATGAGTAGGGTCGAATCCACAAGAACTAGGGGTAATTCATTTCTTTTCAAGTTCGGGACGCGGGGGAGTTTTTATAAAAGTCTCCCATGTGTGAATTAATTTGCTCCAGAAAGTCCCTCCTTTTTTTTTTATAGTTTTCTACTCCATTTCTTGAAATTAAATTCAGATACCATATATAACCAAATATGAGTAGATATTAATAATTAAAAGGGTTAAAAAAAAAAAGCCCCATGTGCTAAACCTAATATACAAATAAACCCCATATGGTTTCAAAATATACAACGCGACATCTCGTGCTTTGAACTAAATTGTAACCGTGACGAAAATCGATAAAATTAACGGGACTGATGTACTGGAAGCTAAAAGCAAATTCATTATATTTAATTTTTAGCAAATATTCCTATTGTACCCCTTAGCCCCCAATAAAACTCCCTCCCAGCGATGCTTGTGTATAGAATCGATTTCTACTTGATTGAGAGAAATTGAACTAGCTTTTGGGAGAAATCAAATTACCACGCAGGAGGTTTGAAAGGTAAAGTCATTCTCCGGATACGAAGTCAACCTACGAGGAACTACTACACAATCTTGGCTAAGGTAAAAGGATTTGATTTTGGGTTTTGGCTAACAGATCCTACTCAACACCCCTAATCAGCAAAAATTTCCTATCACAAATGGAAATTTCAGAAATTATTTGCGTCACCTAGTCAACACCCAAATATCAACAAAAATCTCGGCTTTAAATCCAAACTTGCAGTCCCAAATCAGCAAAAATCTCCCATTAGAAATGGACATTTCAGAAATTATTTGCATGACTCCTAGTTCCAACACCCAAAAATTAAAAAAAAAAAATCTCGGCTTCAAAACCAAAGTCGTAGTCCCTAAACAGCAAAAATCTTTATTTTAAATCCAAAGTACCAGTCTCAAAACTCATAAAATCAGGAATTTTCTAAGGTAAACACCCAAATATTGCAGATCAAACCAATGCCAATCATTACCATTCCAATAGTCAATCACCTTAGGTGAAAGATGTTCTTCTGGGATTTCTGGTACGATACTAGCTAGAGGTGAATCCGTAAGCCAGGTATCTAACCAAAAGTGAATGGATTTCCCATTACCCACTCTCCAACAAACTCCCTCATCCAAAATAGCAGCCGTGCTCCATATACCTCTCCACAGATGGGAAGCATTTGATTTACACGAGAAAGCCTTGCTACTATATTTACTGTAAAGGATTTGCTGCCAAAGACCATCGTCATGTTTCAACAAATTCCACCCAAGTTTGCTGAGGGTTGCTTCATTGAGAAGTGAAAGATTTCTAATACCCAGGCCACCACACTCTTTCGGCAAGCAAACCTGATCCCAAGCTTTCGCCATCTTTTTCCCCCCACAAAAAGCGTCTATTGCAGCAAAGAAGATGAGACCGTTTGGTTGGGCTTTACTTCCTCTCTCTCGCTCTCGCTTTCCCTCTCTCTCTTCTCTCCCTCTCTCTCTCTTCGTAGGGTTTGAAGGGAAGAAATGAGTCCGTTCAATTGCCTTTTGGGTATTATACAAGGGCATTTTGATCCTTTTATCAATTCCCGTTAATTTTACCAATTTCCATCACGGCTACAACTTAGTTCAAAGCACGAGGTGTCGCGTTGTATATTTTGAAACCATAAGGGGCTTATTTGTATATTAGGTTTAGCACATGGGGCTTTTTTGTTTTTAATCCTAATTAAAATAATGTTTGGCAGGGACAAAGGGGGAAATTAATAATAAAATTACTAACAATTAACACCCTATCAATTCACTCAATTAATCATCGATGCAATGATAATTTCATTTATTCACTGATAAACAAGTTATAACTGCCAAACATGTAACAATCAACTTTTTCTTACTGTATTGGTGATTAAGGTATGACCGTTAATCACTTCCCTAATCAAGAAATAACCTTAGGCACAAACATAAAATTTAATTTTTCAATTACTTTAAGAATTAAAGAAGCCCTGTTCTAACCAAATAACACGCTATGAGGGTTATTTTAAGTTAGCCCATATGTTCTTCTGACACAAATCCAATCATGTTAGTTACCACTAATTTAAAGTAATTAAATAATTATGAATTTAACTGCTCTAACTGATTTTAGGTTATTAGATTAAATTAACTATTGAGTGTCCTTAATATTCAAATAAAATAATAACCATAAGACATTAAATCAGAGAACATAAATTGCAGATTTATTATAAAATAAAGAGAGTACAAAACCTAACAAATAATTCCAAGGCCAAAAAGGCACCGAAAACTAAAAATACAAAAAAGTTTAAATAGAATAACATGTTTTGTTGAAAATCTAGAATATCTTTTTCTATGTATATCCCATGATTTCTGCTATATCCCATGATTTCTGCTCTATTTTAGGATAGAATAATTTACTCCTAATGTATTTTAGAATAGAATAAATTAGCTCCTAATTTTTAGGAAATTACAGATTTCATGGAATTGACAAAAGTCAAATTCCATTTGTATAAATGTTGTACAGAGTCTAAAACAAAAGATATAACAGAACAATTCAGTTTTTCTTTTTGTTCATGGTATCAGAGCTTTTGCTCTTGGGACCTCTTCTTGTCAGCCTTCATTGCTGAGTGCTTTCCTCTCTTCAAGTCTTTATTGCCAAGTGCAATTTCCAGCCTTCATTGCTGATTTTTTTCATTAGGCCTTCATTGCAAATTTTTCTTTGAAACCTCCAACATGTCTGAAACTGAAACATCAGAAATCCACTCCAATACCAAATCAGAAGAGACCTCAAATATTCCACAAACAGGGGATTTGCAGAGTATCCAGGCAGCCTACAGGTTCAATGGAAAAAACTATTTGAAGTGGTCACAATTTGTTCAAACATTTCTCAAAGGAAAGGGCAAAATCAGCCACTTGCTTGGAACTGGATCGAAAAAGGGAGATCCTAAATTCGCTGCTTGGGATAAAGAGGATTCTATGGTCATGTCATGGCTGTGGAACTCCATGTTACCTGAAATAAGCGATACTTGTATGTTCCTACCAACAGCTCAAGACATATGGACTACTATTCGACAGACCTATTCAAAGGCAGGAGATGCTGCCCTAATCTATGAGATCAAAACAAAGATCTCAGCCACTAAACAGGGCAACCTTTCTGTTACTCAATATGCCAACCTTCTGCAAAATCTATGGCAGGAACTGGACCAATATCGGTGTGTTCAGATGTTGTGTAGTGAAGATGCAGCCACCTTGAAAAACTTTATCGAAAAGGATAGAGTTTATGACTTCCTTGCAGGTCTGAATGTGGAATTTGATCAGGTCAAAGTCCAGATATTGGGGAAGGAAAGATTATCATCTCTGAATGAGACAATATCATTGATTCGAGCTGAAGAGAATAGGCGAGAAGTCATGTTAGAGCCTAAAACATTAGAAGGCTCGGCAATGATTTCTACAAAGTCAAATAAAGACACAATTTGGTGCACGTGCTGCAAAAAATCACGCCATACGCGAGATGATTGCTTCAAACTCCATGGGAAGGAACAAGTCCTTAGTCGTAAAGGAGGATTCAAAGGGGGAAAAGCCCACTTAACTGCTGGAGAAGACCAAACACAAGAAAAATCCAACCAGGCTGGTATGGGAGAATTCAAGAAAGAAGAAATCGAAAAGCTAAGAAACCTCCTAAATTCCCTTGAAAAGTCCTCTAGTACGTGTTCATTGGCTCAATCAGGTAAGTACCTTAACTCTTATGCTTTAAGTGCCTCAAGCATGTCTTCTCTAGGCTCTTGGGTCATCGATTCAGGAGCTACTGACCATATGACTCACAGCCCAATCAGATTTAGAA